TACGAGCTTTGGGGAGTGGGAAGGGATTTCCAGGGTGAATGTTCATCATAGGGATGCCTCACTTGCACGAAGAGGCATCCTTGGTGCTAGGCTATGTGACTACCCTGAGAACTGTGGGCGTGGGGGCCGCAGAACTGCGAGGGCCAGGGCTTGCAGGCACGGAACAGGGAGGGAGCGATCCTTACTCCCGCCGGAGTCTGGACACCTCTCGGCCTCTCTCTAGCTCCATGCTGGCTTCTCTGGTGGCAGTCCATGTGCCCTACCTGTCACCATTATCACAAGTACCACATCACACTGGGCTTTTTTGCATGGGTTCTGGGTACTGAACTCAGGTCCTTATACTCGCAAGGCAAATATTGTACCGACTGAGCTATCTTCCGAACCTCTGACATCTGTAATTATGTGCATGAGGCTCCAGAACATGCTTCCTTATACCTTTGCAAATTGCCTTTGCATAGCCATTGCTGTTTTATTACCCTGGGAGCAAAGGTACTTGCGTTTTTCCACTGAGACCTTGTTGCTGGATATTGACTGAGATTCCCAACCGAGAAGAGACAATATTGAGAACAGTTTTGTTTTAAAGTTTAAACTATTGCTAACTCTGTAGTTGATGTGGCCAAAGTCTCTTCTTGTAAAGTAAATAAGACCATTTTTGAACATGTGAAGCAATTGGTTCAATGAGACTTTGGACTCTGAGTCCACGTTTTTATAGCTTGATGTACAAATAAGGTTAGGACAAATATAAAATAATTCAGAATTTCAAGCACAAAGTTTCATGTGTTTCTTGTAGAAAGGGATGTTGCTATATGCTCTTCAACAGAAGTATGTCTATATGTCTGTGTATGCCTGTTTATGATTGATAAAATGTAACATGGAAGATGTGACACTAAATCCAAGGGCTCAGCAGGTAACAGCATTTTCTGAGCAGGACTAGTGACCAGTGCTCAGTCCCCAGAGACTGAAAAGATGGAAAGAGAAATTGACCCAGCAAGTTCGCCTCTGAGCTCCACATATGCACCCTGTCACACGCATCCCCCACCACACACACACAAATACACACGAATAATAAATGAATTTTTTATTAAAAAATTGCCAGGAGTGACAGCGCACACTTTCAATCCAGCACCCAGAAGGCAGAAGCAAGTGGATCTCTATGAGTTTAAGGCCAGCTTGGTCTACATAGTGAATTCTAGGATGGCCAAGGCTACACTGTAGTCCTTGTCTCAAATAAAACAACACAAAGATTAAGCCAAAGTATTGCTAATATCTGCTATGGAGTGCACACCCCAACAGTTCAAAACAAGCTCCCCAACTGACAAAATAACTTGATTTTTTTTTCCTGAACAGCCTCTCCACTTGCTTTGCCAAATTAAACTTCAATGTTAAATCCCGACAAGTCTTTAAAAGGTTGTTTAATGTCTATTACCAGCTGGCTGCTCAGTTAGCCTGGGCTAGTGTTTGGAGCGTGAGCTGAAGTACATGGAGAGGACAATCAATAGATAAATCATGTGGTAGAGAAGATACATAGAACAACGAATCCCAAACTGGATAGTGGAAGCCATTGAATGGTACCACTCTGCAGAAACTGAAAAGGCTATTAAATAGCCTATAATTAACCTTGTAATTATTATGGTGGTTATTATTAACCTGGGTACCATATCAATAAAAGACACAGTCACCTGATAGATTTTAATAAGCCTTATTTCACCTGGGGCTGTGCAGATATTAACCCTCTAAACTACCTTGTTATCTCCCAGTCCCATATCCCATGCCATTTGCTTCACCCAGTTCAAGCTGTAAGGAACTCAGGACTAAGAATAATCATCATTATTTATTAATTGTGCAGACCATCTTAGTATTTATTTGTAGAAAGAGTTTTTTTTAACCAGCAATGAAATAAAAATAATCATAAGCACATGAGACTCCCTGCTAGTCTACGTTTTGATCTAGTTGATTTTTTGTTTCCCTGTTACTGTTATTTCATGTTGACGTGAACGGGAGGTTGGAACTGTCAAGGTGGCTTAGGATCCTGAAGAAAAGTGACCAGTTTCCTTCTTATCCAGAAGCTGAGAATGTCCTTGGGACTTTCAGGAGCTGGAGGCCAGAGATGCCAAAAGTAGTTAAGCCCAAATTTCCCTGGTTCCACCATAGCCAGGGGTAGGAGACACCAGAAGTAGGGTCTAGCTTTTATATATCTCCTTTCCCCTAAAAGACGGCCCCTTTCCTGGAGACCACACTGAGGCTGTGGCTGTGGCTGTAAGGCACCTGGCCTGGGAACTGGACTGACCAACTCATCCCCAGTCTCCCTTCCTCCAGCCAATAAAGCCTTACTACTGCCAAGGCAGCAAGGCTCAGTGGTACCCTATTTCCTGGGATGCCACCTGCTAGGATGCTCTCTGTTCTCTCTTCCCACTCCTCCTGGTCTCCTTAAGCATCCACCTATGAATCTGTAGCCAACTTCTCTCTAAAACTTATCTTCTGTTATCTGTGAATTTCATTCTTCCAACTCAAAGCAAGCAGTGTGGGGAGGTTTTTGGTGGCTTAAGTTCTGGGATGTCAGCTCTCTGAGAAAGACTTCTTCACTCTCAAATACACCGCAATATCCCCACATCAACACCATTTCCCTAAGTTTTGTAGCTGGCAACAGGAACAGGGTATCTGTTGAGAAATGGAAGCAGGACGAACATAAATCTACTCATTACGTTGTTTCTAGGGATGACACGAATAAAATTTGAGTCCTCATATCTCCACAATATTTAAGAATAGTATCTTCTGGGAATAGAGAGATGGCTTAGTAGTTAGGAACACTTGTTGTTCTTGCTGAAAGAACCAGGTTCAGTTCCCAGCACTGACATGGTGGTTTACAACCATCCATAACTCCAGTTCAAGGGGATCTGATGACCTCCTCTGACCTCTGTGAATACCATGCATGCATGTAATATAAATAGATACAAATAGGCAAAACACTCACAGGCATAGAATAAGATTAGTCAACCTAAAAGAAACAATTGAATAGTATCTTAGCATGTAGCCAGTGGTAGATGGGTGCTTAGCATTCACAAAGCCCTGAATTCCATCTCAGCACCCAAATCAACACCACCACCACCACCACCAGAATCCCTCCAACAGAATTCATTCAAGAGTGTTTTTCATTGATTACATTTATTCTTTGGCAATTTCATGGATGCATATAAATCATTCTCTTAGTCCACAGCCTCTCTTACAGGTTTCCACCCTGGCACTCCCCCTCCTCCCTACAACTCTTTTCCTTGCATTCACGTCTTTTTTGGTTTCTTCATGACCCACTGATTTTCACCAAGGACATGCCCATGACCATGGGTTTGAAACTGTCCCCTGGAGCTTAACGGGCTCACTGTTGGATGCACAAGTGAAAACAATGACTGAACCTTCTCCAGAATCCATCAGACTTTGAGGGAAACCACAGAACTAGCCTGACTTCTTTGTTCTTTGATTAACCAATGTCATTAAGCCTAGCCTTCCATCCCTGCACCTCCTAAGGTCGGATCATTCCCTTTGTGAGTTCTGCCAACAAGATTTGCATCTCAACCTCAACCTTCTCCTCTCCTCTTCCTCCATGCTCACCCCATTTGCTTTTCCTCGTTCTCTATCTTCATTATGTAGAACAACTGGGCCCTTCTTGTCTCCACTAGTTTTCTCTCTTCTCCACCCATCACAGGAAATTTCTGTATTAGAGTAGAACCCTGTAGCTATGCAACCAGCAAGAATCCTCTGTAGAGCAACAAGAGGAAAGGGGGTGGTGGAAGTCGACTCTTCTCCTTGTCATAGGAGACAGTGTTCCTTAGAAGCTTGGTTTGAGGATAACGTTTCTCAACGTTAGGAACATTTCTCAAGTAACCCATTCCAGGAGGTTTAGATGTGCAGATTCAGAGCAAGACCACCTAGATAAAAAGAGGCAGATGTTACCTTTTCAGAGTTTGCTGAAGTGTACCCGTGTGCCCTGGAGTGACAGATGTGTTAGAGGGCTATGGGTGTATGACTGCTCAAAGCTCTCCCAACATCACCATCAGGCAGGTCCATTTCTCTTCTCCCACTCAACCAAGTTCTAATGTGATTTCGTATCAACTTCCAGCCCCTAAAACAGAAACATGCCTAGACAAGATATATGATGTGGTATGAATGAATGCTGCTTTGACATGAGAGAAGATCAAAGGGTCAAGAACGGCTTCAAGGTCACCATTTGAGCTACCAGGAAGATCTTGTTATGAATAATAGCTAAAAGGTGAATTAAGAAGAAACTAGTTGTTTTGTGACACACATTGAGTTCAGTTTGGGCTTCATTAAATGGAAGGTGACTCCTTGAAGATATTCTTTAGACTCGTCTGTGTACAAACTGGAACACTGTTTTACTTACTTTTTTAATCTTTATTAAGGTGTGTATGTGTGTGCCTGTGTGGGTTTGTGTGCGCCATGTGTGTAGATCCTTGAAGACCATAAGAAGATGCACGATCCCCCAGAACTGGAGTTACAGGTGGTTGTGAGCTCCCTGGTGTGAATGCTGGGAACAGAACCTGGGTCCTCTGCAAGGGCACTTAGTGCTCTTCATGGCAGAGCCACACCCCCTGGCCATAGGGGTAACATTTTACAGATGTGGCAACAGAGAACAGAAGACTGTCATGACTTCATATATCAGCGACACAGGAACTTCCATCTTTCGGTGGGCTGTCTGTAACATACCAAAACACAGAGCAAGGGGCGCGGGAAGGAGACTAGGAGGTCCAGACAGTGTGGTGAGCCTCAGGATTCTTTCAGGGGCAGTAATGAACTGTTTGTGCTACTAAGAAGAAAATGTACTAAACCAAAGAGGCACCCACCAAAGATTTCACAATGGACCCAGGGGAGTGGAGTAAATGATTAAAGAATGGAGCTCTCATGGTCCTTTCCAAAGCACAACACTTGAGCTTCTGTTTACAGAAATGAAGGTACACCCCGAAAGCGGTTTAATATTTAAACACTCCTCTGTCTGCTCTTCTCCCTTCAGCAGAAGGCATCACTTTGGTGGAGCTCGTGGGGACTCATCAGCAATGGTCTTCCCGGTGCTCATCTTGTTCTCCACTTTCCTCTGCCATGTTGCTATTGCAGGACGGAGTGAGTACCTCTTGCCTTTGAGAAAATACTATCTCTAACCCGTGAGTTCGTGTCAGGGATCAGTTATGATGACTTTCCAGTCAGAGCGGATGCTGGAGACGAGGCACAGACGCTTACTTACTCTCCACGATTGCCATTCTTTAAGCTTGGTGGCAGGGTAGTCAGCCACTGTGAGCCCCAGCACGCTGATCTGTGATGTGCCGATAACAGTAAGGCCTCCTTCAAATGGTCGTTAAGATCAGATGAGATCTTGCGTAGGAAGTGTTTGGTACGGACTTGAGTAGACCTATAATTTGTAGTGGTAAGTGCGTTCCCTTGCATGCTAGATGAGCTTAAAGCTGTGAATTGGGCTTTTTCTTTTTAACCGTCTGTTTTGGGTTCTGTTTCAGCCTGTCCCCGGCCAGATGAACTACCGTTTGCTATGGTTGTTCCATTAAAAAACTCCTATGACCCAGGGGAGCAGATTGTGTACTCCTGCAAGCCAGGCTATGTGTCCCGGGGAGGGATGCGACGATTCACCTGTCCCCTCACAGGAATGTGGCCCATCAACACCCTGAAATGCATACGTAAGCCCAAACCTTCTCTCCAGTTCTCTCCCTCATTTGGGTTCTGGATATCGGGAGGCAAATCCTATCTCACCCTGCTCAGGGAGCGCAGGGCTGTGTGAGGGTATCACACAAGAAAGCATGTTTAGAAAAGAGGACAACAAAGGAAAGTTCAAACGAGAGAGAAAGAGAGAGGCTTGGGTTGATTAATGGAGAAGTTAAAAGACAAGTGGAGAAATGCTGACAGATGAACTGTTGCCAAAGAAACTCATGGGTAAACAGAACTTGGAGAATGATCCTATCTTTGGACTTTGCCTCAGAATGGAAGCAGACTTAATATTTAATAAACTGACTATAAATGTTTCTAAATTGTGTATGTATTTACAATAAAATAGAAACATGTTACACACTGATAATATAAATTTCATAGCACATTATTTTATGATAAATAGTTGTCTTCATTTATGCCTTGAAACGTGGTTTATGATCATGTTAGCCTTTTTTGTTTAACATGGTGTCATATATTTCAGTCCATCTTGAAACTTACTAGGTATCTGAGGATGAGCCTGAACTTCTGATCTCCCTGTCTCTGCCTCCTGAGCACTGGGATTACAGGTGTGAACCACCCAGATCTTAGCCTAATTTTTATAGTCAAATATTAAGTAATCAACCAGATTGAGTTTTTGCAATTATGTATAGTAGCAAAAATAGCTCTAATTATTTCGATTATATAGATATGAACTTTATCATAATTATAAATGTTCTTGCAAGTGATTCAAGTTTGTTTTTTATTTTTATAAATCTAAGTGGGTTTTTTCGAAGTACGAGGCATTGCATCTAGAGACTTGTGTAGGCTAAACATGTGTTCCACCTCCAAGCTACCCACCTAGCCCTTAAGCATGATTTTTAATGAACAATCACTTTAAATCAGCAATGACTTTGATCACTAATAATGTCATTTTTTTTCAAGACAGGGTTTCTCTGTGTAGCCTTGGCTGTCCTGGACTCACTTTGTAGACCAGGCTAGTCTCAAACTCACAGAGATCTGTCTTCCTCTGCCTCCCTGAGTCTTGGGATTTTAAGCACGAGCTACTGCGCCCAGCTTAATGTCATTTTCAGCATACTTTCCATATGCCTTTGCATTATTGTGAAGAGTATATATAATTTTGTGTTTTCTACTTTTTATCAGCTTATTATAAGAACAGACTGTCTCTGTAACCTTTATAATCTGTGTTTTATTGGCTGCATAATAATTTGGTTGGTGGGTTAGTTTGTCTAATTAAAACAATCTCATGACAATGTCACTTAGACTGTCCAAATTCTACTGTAAAGAATATCTCAACATATGCATTGTATGTCTCATTTTGATTGTTTTCTTAGGATAGTTATTAGCAGTTATTGGATCAAAAGATGGAAATGAGTTTATTGTACTTCAATAGAAATTTACGAGTTTTTCTCTTTAAATCGCAGCCAGAGTGTGTCCCTTTGCTGGAATCTTAGAAAATGGAGCTGTACGTTACACAACGTTTGAGTATCCCAACACCATCAGTTTTACTTGTAATCCTGGGTAAGAATACCAGCTAGATGAAGCCCCTGGCAGACAGAGCACACTTCTGGGTCTTTTAGTTAAACATCACAGCGGCTCTGTATTTTATTTCTAGCCTTTGGGTTGGACTTGCTGGATACAAATACATTTCAGTCCTGCTTTTAACTGACACTATCATGATACTGAGGCTGGTGCAGGAAATGGAGAATAGACCATCGAGGGCCATGTAGTTTCTGCGCTCCTCACTAACCACTCGTCTGAGGAGACACAGAGAAGCGAATGAACCTGAATGGTAATTCCTTCTCATCTCTGGGACACTCCCTAGCATGTGATTGAAATATAACAGGAATATGACGTGGCTTGGCCTTTAGTCATGGGACTGACCGACCAGTGTGTCAGGTAGTCTTTGGAAGAGAATTCTGTGGAGAAGACCGGGGTATGGTGATACAGAACTTCTTGAAAGATGTTGTCCCAGTCACTGTTCTATTACTGTGAGGAGACAGCATTTAACTGAGGCTGGCTTACAGTTTCAGAGGTTTAGTCCATTATCGGCGTGGCGGTACACAGGCAGACACGGTGCTGGAGAGGTAGCGGAGAGTTCTTCGTCTAGAGACTCGGGTAGCAGGAAGAGAGAGCCGCTGGGCCTGTCTTGGCTTTTGTGAAACCCCAGCAACACACATTCTCTAACCAGGCCGCACTTCCTAATCCTTTCAAATAATGCCGCTCCCTCGTGACCCAGCATTCAAACACACGAGCCTAGGGGCCATTCTTACTCAAACCACCACTTATTTATTTCATTAATTTTAATTATGTGTGTGCGTGGGAGTGTGTGTGTGTGTGTGTGTGTGTGTGTGTGTGTGTGTGTGTGTGTGTATGAAGAGCTCTGGGGTTACAGTCGAGCTGTCCAGTATAGGTGCTAGAATTCAAGCTCTGGCTAATCAGTGTGCTCTTAATCAGGCTGAACCTAGCTCTTTTTTTTTTTTCAATATTTATTTTTATTTTATGTACATTGGTGATTTGTCTGCATGTGTGAGGCGTGAGGGAGTTGGGTCCCCTGGAACAGGAGTTATAGACAGTTGTGAGCTGCCATGTGGGTGCTGGGAGTTGAACCCGGAGTCTTTTGGAAGAGCAGACAGTGCTCTTAACCACAGAGCCATCTCCCCCAGCCCCTGAACCTAGCTCTTTTAATGCTCGGTTAATGCCGTATCACGGCCTCACGGGTTCTTTGTCCCACAATTCATCTGTCTTACTTGAAATGGCACCAATGAGTCACTGGTGAACAGGCTGCTGTCTCCTGTGGCAGTGTTTCTGAAGATCCTTGCTTGGGAATGGAGACTTGGGAACACCATCTGCGAAGGAGAATCATGGGTCTTTCCACAGATGCCAAGCAGCTGTGGGGCTGATCACAAATGCCCCTGGTGGGGGAGGGGCGTCGGTGATAACACTGTACCTTTGTTGGCGATGGTGGCGTGCACTGTTCAGATATGTTCATGCCAACAATGCTAAGACACTGGGCAGCCCCTTTTGGGGAGTGTGATAGCACGTGACTCCCTTGAGTTGTCTTTCTTGGCAACGTAGTGAGAGCCTCACTCCAAACAAATGAATTGGGTTAACGGTAGGAGTCTCAGTGGTAGAGCTCATATTTTCTACACAGAAGCCCTTGAGTTCAATCCCTAGCACAATTATAATGCCAGTGAGATCACTTTACTGTTTAATCCGTTACATTTTCCTTCTTCAGGTTTTATCTGAACGGAACCAGTTCTGCCATGTGCACTGAGGACGGAAAATGGAGTCCTGAGCTTCCTGTCTGTTCACGTGAGTCTGTGGATCCCACCGCAGAGTTACGGGGCAAGTTGGTCCATCTGGAGATTTCCTGGCTTTAATGCTGCCAGCTCCATGATCCAGAAACTCCTTGTTCTCGGCGATCCCCCAGGCCTGGTTCAGTGAGATGGGTGGTTGCTTTCTCGTGGGGATGTTTAGATTGATATCACTGTATTCTAGAAGAGGCAACAAATTACCCTTGAGTAGCAGGCTAGAAGCATTTTAGTTATGGACTCAAGTATCTGCACTACCTGGTGGGCCAGACCAGCTGTGTTTGTTAACCACAAAGCCCCCTCCTTGTTTGGCAGAGGCAAGGTCTGGCCTTGAGCTCTCAGGGCCTGCCATAGTTTGGTTAGAAGGGCTCTTTTTATATCCTTTACATCATGCGTGAGAGCCAACCCAGGATCTTGTACTCTAACCCTATTCTACACCACCAGTCCTGGCCAGCAGAACTTCCGCCAGCAGTGGCCCCGAACATCTCTTCCTTGTTAGTGTATTCTTCATTTATTAAGGCAATGGCTTGTTCCCGTCTTTACCAAATGTGAACTGAGGTTCTAGATGCTGTATCCTGAGCCTGCAAGGCAGCCGTTCTCAACCTTCCTAAGGCTGTGATCCTTTAGTACAGGGTATCTGATATGCGACCCTCAAGGGGTCACAACCCACAGGTTGAGAACGGCTGCTCTAAGGCTAAAGGCGAGAGCTCTGCCCCGCGTGAATGAATTTACTGATAAAGGTAAGGTAAGCCAGCAAGCGCCTTGTATCTTAAGAGCAAGGCCTCCATGACTTACTCAAAGCTATGCTCAATTAAGAGGTCAGTGGGCGCTCTGGGCCTGCTTCTATAGAGACAATTCTTCTCAGGTCCTCTAGCTTGAGATTTATATAACTCTAATCTTTGACCAAGAGGCTCAGGCAATGGATGTGGTCCTTTAGCCTTCCTGTGACACCCATCCTAACAAAGGAAAGTGGGAAACTAAAGTAATTCTAAATAAATCCTAGCCAAATTAAAACTAAACTACAAAAAAACTGATTTAAAGATAAATTGGGTTCTTTATCCGTCTCAAGGATCACCAGGGTTCATACAAATAATCTCCCCTTTAGGCATCTTTCACCAATTATGTATATTAATTTTTTTCCAGTTAGGAACAGAGAAATTACTTTTAAGTTCAATCTAATCTAAATGAATGACTCTCATGCTTGAATACCAGTCACTGGGCTTAATGTCTCATTAACATGCAAATTCTGACTCAGGCCCCCGGAGTGTGGTCTGAGCCTTTATCGGATGCCAGGCAATTCCATGACCATCCACAACCATCCATGACTGTCTATGACCACTCTTTGAGAAACAGGGACTGAGAGAGATCACATTAAATAACAAGTTTATCACCAGTGTCTTTATGTTAGTGTAACTTTCTCTGAACTTGTTGAAACTCTATATATCGTCAAGGCAGGGTGATAAGCCACTGCCGTGTGTCTGGGTCCTTGCATCTGCGGGTGTAAACCTCCCTGTGTCCACTGCCAAAGCAGGAGGGATTTATCAGAACAAACAGGACTAGGGGCAGAACTCAGATGTCATAAACAGGAGTACCAAGTACTTCAGGATACATTCCGATTTCCAGAAACATTTTTCAAGGTAGCCTTGACGTCAAAGATGTGTAGAACAGTGGCTACAAAAGTCAAATGAGCTGTGATGAGACAAACCTATTGCTGCAGCTGCCACCTTTGCCTCTTAGTCGTTGTCATCCTCCTCCTCCTCATTCTTGGTCGGCATGGTTTCTGATGGGTTGGCACATTTGACTTGACTTTTTCTTACTTGTCATCAACAATGGTTTGTTTTTACTCTGTTATCAAACGTTACATTTCTTCAAATTCATCCTTGAATACGCTTTCATTCTGGAAAGAGTGTATTTTAATTTTTAAATTACATTTATTTACTTGGCATACGTATAGAGGTCCAAAGACCATCTGTGAGAGTCAGTTCTCTCTTTCTACTCTGTGTGTCCTGTGGATTGAACTCTGGTCATTGAGTGGGGCATCAAGTTATTTTTATATACAGAGACCTCTTGTCAACCTACAGAGTCGCTGTCTCTCTCTCTTTCTCTCTCTCCCCCTCCCTCCCTTCCTCCTTCCTACATTCCTTCCTTCCTTCCTTTGAGAAAATCTCTCACTATGTAAATTAGGCTGACCTCAAACTCACAGATAATCTGCCTTTAAAGAGTGCATTTCAAAACCCCAATTATTTTCGTAGAGATGACAGTGATCTCTCTTTGCAGCCGTCACCTGCCCGCCTCCACTGGTTCCTAAGTTTGCAACCCTTAAGGCTTACAAGCCGTCTGCTGGGAATAACTCTCTCTATCGGGACACGGCAGTCTTTGAATGCTTGCCACACCATGCCATGTTTGGAAATAACACAGTTACGTGCACAGCCCATGGAAACTGGACTGAATTGCCAGAATGCAGGGGTAAGTGGTTAAGATAAAATAACTAGAGTAGCACAGAAACACTTCTTTAAATGCTTTGAAAATGCCAAACTACCAGGAACACTCCAAATTCCCTCAACAAACGAACTAAACTACTTTTTTTTTTTGTAGGATTTTTGAGATAGGGTTTCTCTGTGTAGCCTCCATTGTCCTGGAGGAAGTCTCTCTGTAGACCAGGTGACCTTAAACTCACAGAGGTCCGCCTGCCTCTGCCTCCTGAGTGCTGGGATTAAAGGTGTGAGCTACCAGCTCCCAGCTTCTTTTTTTTGTTGTTGTTTTGTTTTGTTTAAAGAAAGGGATTCATATATCTGTTGTGTGATTTCTCCTAGGGAGACATGAAGAATATGTATTCAGCCCAGATCAGGCAGTGATGACGGAGCAAAGAAATGATGCCACCCAAGTCTAGCCTAGGGTACTAGGGAGATTATCGGGGTTACCTACAGGCGCATAAGTGAGGGGAGGGGTTGTGTGCAGGCTGCGTGAGTGTCTCAAAGGGAACTAACTGTGTCGCTGAAAAGCCCACTTCAGCGTGCATGCTGACAGCCTATGAAAGCTCAATCCCGGCTATTCCCTGCCCAACCTGCAGGCCGCTCCGCCCGCAGGACGGTCTTTCCAGCAACGGCACTGTCCCTTTGCTTCTCGGGTCCCGTGAGCATCTCTCGTCCTTTAAGGAGGGGAAATCTCAGCCCAGCTGATCTTTACCTCACCATGTAGCTGAGTTGGGTCTCTAACTCCTGATCCTCCTGCCTCCATCTCCCAAATGCTGAGATTATAGGTGTGTACCCCCACTCTGTCTAACTGAGTGTCTATCATGTGCCAGGTAGTGTGCCTTGAACCAGGGACAGCAGGTGAGTGACTTTGGTTCCTGACCTGCCGTGAATTAAGCACATCGCAATGAACAGTCTAAGACTGACTGGGTGGTATTTTCAGAGGCTGAGACCCTCTGTATGGGCTTTGGATCATGAGTGGAAGATGAAGGACAGGTATGCTGTGCGGGGACACATCACTTGCAAAGCCAAGCAGGCATGAATGGACTTGTGTCTAGTGACAGCTGGATACCAGGGAGGCTGGTGAAAAGATGCCTGGATTAAGGGATGAGGGTTTTAAAAACTGAGTTATAGTCTGGTTGATGGCTATGACTTTATAATCTACCTAAATTTCAGAATCAGCACAGTGTCTTTTTAATTTGGTTTATTGATTAGAAAAAAAGGCTTTCTAGCCAGGTGCTGTGGCGCATGCCTTTGATCCCAGCACTTGGGGAGGCTGAGGCAGGTTGACTGCTATGAGTTTGAGGCCAGCCTGGTCTACAAAGTGAGGCCAAGACAGCCAAGGCTACACAGAGAAACCCTGTTGAAAAAAAAAAAGAAAAAGAAAAGAGAAAAAGAAAGAAAGAAAAAAAGAAAAAGGTCTTCCATACCTACTTTTTAGACTGTAAAAGTTTGTGACAAAAGACACTTTATAATGAAAACTCAAAGCCCAAAGAGCTAGCAGGGTGTCATTATTTACTTTCAAAATGTGCTTATTTTCTAAATTTTCAGGGTTCTATAAGCGTAAGAGAATGAGAACGGAATTAAGCATCGGGCACTTAGAAACTGCATTTCACTCACAGCAATACCCAGGGACTGTGTGGTGTGATGGAAGATTGTAGCCATTCTGCAGCTGCCAGACAATGCTATCAGTTACTAACATGTCTTACTGAATACACTTTTTAGAAGTCAAATGCCCTTTCCCCTCGAGGCCAGACAATGGGTTTGTGAATTATCCTGCAAAGCCAGTTCTTCTTTATAAGGATAAAGCCACCTTTGGTTGCCATGATACATACTCACTGGATGGCCCAGAAGAAGTGGAGTGCACCAGGATGGGGAACTGGTCCGCCCTGCCGAGCTGTAAAGGTATGGAAGTGTGGCTGAGGTCTGGCAAAGACTGAATCCGCGACTTTCTTATTTTACCTTCTCTCCGCCTGTTGCTCACACTCGCTTCATAGTGACTGATCTGGGAAAGTCATAAGGAATGAATAGTACATGGAGCACTCTCGTGCTTAGGAAGGTTGCTTAGCGTCCAGCTAGAGCAAATAGACGTGTTCTCTGTTAAGCACTGGTCGTATGGAGGGAGACCACGGTTTCTGTATTTGTTTTTAAGTCTGCCTATAAGCACCCTTTTCAAATATTTCTTTTACTTTTTAAATTTGTCTGCAGTTGAGCAGTTGAGCGTGAGTACAGGGGTCGGAAGCCCTGGCTTTCTTGAAACTGGAGTTAGAGGCAGTTGTGAGTCACTTGATGTAGGTACTGGGAACTGGACTCTGGTCCTCTAGAAGAATAGTGTATGCTCTTAATCACTGAGCCATCTCTGCTGCCTGAGCCTCCTACCCGACTCTGAGACTCTGATGCCTCCTTTGGCTTTTTTTTTTTTTTTTTTTTTGTCAACGCTCTCTTTGAGATCAGTCACATATCTAAGCTAATTCAAGGAAATGGGAGCTAGTTATAGATATATAGAGATATAGTTTTAAAGAAATATGCAAATGAGGAGCTCAGATACGACATGTCAGTGTCCTCTCCCATCTCTGTGTCCCTCTCCTTGTTTGAACCTGGCTTGATTCTACAACAGGTAAAGCCCCCATCACCAGCTGGCTTCCTATTCCTGAGCTGTCAGGTTTTTGGAGTTGAGCATCTGTCCTTAATCCATCAATGCCATGATTTGCATAATGCCATGATTATGCAAAGAACAACCATATAGCACTCTGTCTCTGCCCAAGCTGAAGTGTTTAAACAGGAAAGGAGAGCAGGCACAAAAACAAAATGATGAATGGTTGGTGTTACAGGCTCGGATCTCTTAGAAGCAGAGTCTGGGACAGCCGTTCAAATGCCATTGATTTATGAAGCCGGGATCTCAGAAGATAGCAGGACAGGGAAGCTAGGGCGGGCATTGGCTCCCGGCCTTTTCTGTGCATCTGAGTCCTCTAGGGACACGTGTGTGTGTGTGTGTGTGTGTGTGTGTGTGTGTGTGTGTGTGTGTGAGTGCCTGTATGTGCACATGTGTGTGCAGTGCGGGTGTATGTGTGTGTATACATGCACATATAGGTATATACAAGAGTGCGTACTAGTATGTAGACACAAGTGTGTGTGTGACAGAGGTCATACACAAGTTACAAGTTTCCTTCAATTACTCTCGACCTTATTTTTCTGGGCCAGGAATGCTCACTGAACCTGGAGGCCGGCCGGCTGGCCAGAGAGCTCTGGCAATTTGTCTGTCTGCTTCTTCAACCCTCCCTTTCCAACCTAGCTTTTATGTAGATTGTTGCTGGGGCCAGAATTACTCTGATCCTCATGCTTGCACAGCAGCCACTTTATTGGCTGAGCATCTCCACAGCCCTCATGGGTTAGTTTTCACACACACACACACACACACACACACACACACACACACACACACAC